CCTCGATCTTGGACTTCCCAGCCCCCAGGACTGTGAGAAATGTGTTTTGACACTTAATAAGCCACTCAGTCAGGGGATCCCTGGGTGGTTCAGTGGTTTAGTACCTGCCTTCGGCCCTGGGCGTAATCCTGGAGTCCCGGGATCGAGTCCCACATCGGGCTCCCTGCATGGAGCCTGCTTCTCCCTCTGCCTGTGTCTCTGCCTCTCTCTCTCTCTATCATGAACAACAACAACAAAAAAAAAAAGCCACTCAGTCTGTGGTAGCCTGTTAGAGTAGACCGAACGGACTAAGTGCTCTTCTTGGCGTTCTGTGTCAGGTCGTTCCCAGCTCCCCCCCCCCTTTTTTATTTTATTTTATTTAAATACAATTGATTAACATATAATGTATTATTGGTTTCATAGGTAGAGGTCAGTGGTTCATCAGTCTTATATATCACCCAGGGCTCATGACATCACGTGCCCTGTTTAATGTCCATCACCCAGTTACTCTATCCCCCACCCCCTCCCCTCCAGCAACCCTCAGTTTGTTTCCTAAGATTAAGAGTCTCTTTTGGTTTGTCTCCCTCTCTGATTTCATCTTGTTTTATTTTTTCCTCTCTTCCCCTATGATCCTCTGCTTTGTTTCTTAAATTCCACGTATGAGTGAAATCATATAATTGTCTTTCTCTGATTGACTAATTTCATTAAGCATAATATCCTACAGTTCCAAAAAAAATCCTATAGTTTCATCCACATCATTGCAAATGGCAAAATTTTGATGGCTGAATAATATTCCATTGTGTGTGTATATATATATATATATCCCATCTTCTTTATTCATCTGTTGAAGGGCATTTTGGCTCCTTCCACAATTTGGCTGTTGCTGCTATAAACATTGGGGTGCAGGTACCCCTTCAGATCACTACATTTGTATCTCTGGGATAAATACCCAGTAATGCAATTGCTGGGTTGTAATGTAGCCCTGTTTTTAACTCTTTGAAGAACTTCCATACTGTTTTTTTTCTTTTTTTTTTGGGGGGGGGATCACTTTATTCTAATTAATTCACAAATGATAACATCACAAAAGGTGACTTAAAGAGGCACACAAACATTTGCCCAGCCCCAAATTCAAACCATTATGAACTTCTATACTAAGAACACTCTTTTTCATTCCAATTCTGAAGAAATCTGTATTTAATGATGAAAGAGAGGTTTAACTGGTGGTTTTACACTTTATATCTTCACCATTAATTATTATGCTAAATTAACTTGGTCATGAGACATGATTTTCCATATCTTCAATTTGACTTTCTTGATTAGGCTAATCCACTTGCAAATCTGCACTGAGCACGTTGCTGAAACCTTCACAAAGCTTAAGGTCACCCTGGTTCTGGGCACACTCCAGGAACTGTTTCATCTCAGAGTGGCATGGGCCAAACTGCTGCTGCTGGCATGCTGGCTGGGTTCCCCGAGGCTCCTGGTAAGTGATGTCAGGCCTTGAAGGCTCAGCGTCACTTCTTCCACCGAAGCCCCGGGGATGGCAGGACCTATCATGTGCCTGACAGCAGAGCCCACAGTCAAGTCGGCTGCAGTGGTTGCCATTTGGACCACCAGACCTGGCTGCTGGGGTGCAGTACCAGGTGAGCCAACAGCAGATGGTGGAGCCCCTGTCTGCGGGTGAGCTGCTGGTGCTGGTCCAGGCGCAGCTCTCATCTGAGGTGCCTGGCTGGCCGGAGGGGCCGTGCGGGAGCTGCCGTGGGGTGGGCTCCCATGCAGCATGGCTAATCAGAGCAGCACAGCATCTAAAAGTTTGTAATATTTTCCAGAGTGGCTGCACCGGTTCACATTCCCACCAACAGTGCAAGAGGATTCCCCTTTCTCCGCATCCTCTCCAACATTTGTGGTTTCCTGCCTTGTTAATTTTCCCCATTCTCACTGGTGTGAGGTGGTATCTCATTGTGGTTTTGATTTGTATTTCCCTGATGGCAAGTGATGCGGAGCATTTTCTCATGTGCGTGTTGGCCATGTCTATGTCTTCGTCTGTGAGATTTCTCTTCATGTCTTTTGCCCATTTCATGATTGGATTGTTTGTTTCTTGGGTGTTGAGTTTAATAAGTTCTTTATAGATCTTGGAAACTAGCCCTTTATCTGATGTGTCATTTGCCAATATCTTCTCCCGTTCTGTAGGTTGTCTTTGAGTTTTGTTGACTGTATCCTTTGCTGTGCAGAAGCTTTTTATCTTGATGAAGTCCCAAGAGTTCATGTTTGCTTTTGTTTCCCTTGCCTTCAGAGATGTGTCTAGCAAGAAGTTGCTATGGCTGAGGTCAAAGAGGTTGCTGCCTGTGTTCTCTAGGATTTTGATGGATTCTTGTCTCACATTTAGATCTTTCATCCATTTTGAGTCTATTGTTGTTTATGGTGTGAGGAAATGGTCCAGTTTTATTCTGCCACATGTGGATGTCCAATTTCCCCAGCACCATTTGTTGAAGAGACTGTCCTTTTTCTAGTGGATAGTCTTTCCCGCTTTGTTGAAGATGAGTGGGCCATAGAGTTGAGGGTCCAATTCTGGGTTCTCTGTTCTGTTCCATTGATGTATGTGTCTGTTTTCTGTGCCAGAATCATACTGTCTTGATGATTACAGCCAGCCCTCTTGGTTGTTGTTTAACTCGGCCTCTTGAACAAATCTTAGAATTTACTCCACCCTAGAGTGGCAGCTGCTTCTCTCTGGAAAAGGGCACCTGTTCTACCCTGACCTCCATCCTTTGCTTTTGCCCTCAGACGTTTGTTGGTGGACTACTACACCTTTAACTGCATTTCACTAATGTGAAAAGCAAAGCACCGGTAGCTGCAGTGGTTGCCATTTGGGCCACAATACCTGGCTGCCGGCGTGCAGCAGCAGGTGAGCCTGCTGTTGGACTGTGAAATCCAACTTGCAACAACCCAAACCCCACAATTGTCCCAATTCCACCTCACTTTTGAAGCCCAAGTGGCAGAGACTCTAGAGTCTCCCTATAGGATTTTATTTTATATATTTTTTAAAGATTTTATTTATTTATTCATGAGATACAGAGAGAGAAGCAGAGACATAAGCAGAGGGAGAAGCAGGCTCCCTGCAGTGAGGGTAAGCCTGGTGTGGGACTTGATCCCTGGATCCCGGGATCATGACCTGAGCCAAAGGCAGATAGATGCTCAACCACTGAGCCACCCAGGTGCCCCTCCCTATAGGATTTCAAATTCACTTCTCTCTTCCGATTCATTGTTTATGGAACCTGCATTAACTATGTTTTTAGAGGACGAATTAGATCTCTGTGCCAGTCTCCCTCAAACACTGTCAGTACTTCCCTATTCCTGCTAAAATATGCCCAAATACCTAAAGTATGTCATTCATTCAAGATCCAGCCCGGCCCAGAGGAAAGGTACACAAAGGCTGAGGCCAGTGCTGAATCCCAGTCATGACACTTTTTACTCAAGTGGCTTTGGGTAAATCACTTGACTTTTCTAAGCTTGTTCCCTCTGCTGCAAATTTTGATAGAAATTGCATCCCCTAGAGTTCCCTTGAGGATAAAAGAGGGGATGCAATAGGGCAGTAAGTCCAATGCCTGATACCCAATAAATGGTAGCTTCTACTGTTCTCTACTACTTCCTCCAACACACAACGACCCACAATTCCCTCAACACAACCAGGGCTTTAGTTTTTAGCCTCCTGCATTTGATTTGTTATTCCAGATGCCTAGAATGCCCTTTCACCCTGTTATCTCCCCACCTCTGTGGTTCAAATCCTCATACTAGACAGCCAATAAGCTTAGCAGAGGAAGGACAAAACTACCTGGGTTCAGAAATCTAGTTCTCTCATTTCCTCCCTGCATGAGTTTGCTGAAGTTACTTAATCTCCCTGTCTACATTTCCTCGCTTAGAAAATGTGGGCGATCCCGGTGCAGGTATCCCCTGGCTTTCCAAAGTGCTTGTTAGGCCTCTTCGCCGTCAGCAAATACGGAGACTATCAGCACATGTTTTTGCTAACCAAAAGAAGAAGGGAAATATGGCAAACCCGAAGATAATCTTGAGCATTTCTTTAGCAGTAGCCGTTATAGAGGGAGCAGGCACGGCGCAGAGGGCCTGCGCCCGGGCTCCTGGCCCCAGGACGCTCTGAGCATCTCCGCCTCGAGTCGCCAAAGCTTTGAACTAGATCTAGGAGCACCTGTGCAGCATTTTGATTTATCTTTGCGTCTGTGGGCAAGATGCGTCTGAAATGTCGGAAAAGCGTAAGAGAGGTTATGGGGGTGGGGGTGGGGGTGGGGGTCTGGGACGCCCAAGTTTCCCCGTATGAACCAAAGGCGATCGTTCCTTCACTTCCTGACGTCCCGGCCTCCGAAGGCTTTCCTGGGAGCTCTGCGTTCGCGGTGCTGTCTCGGACCCCGGGAAGCCGCATGGGCCTTCCGGGGCTGCTGCACGGTCTGCGCCGCGCTCCGGTGCGCGCTCCCGTGGAGGACTCGGAGCTGCGCCGGACGCAGGGCGGGTGCTCGGTCGGGGTCCGGGCTGGCGCGGGGCCGGGTCCGCCCAGGTCCAGGCCGAGCGGCGGCGCCGCCCTCGAAGCTACGGAGCCTGGGACGAACGTGAGCGGTGCGGCGGGTGCGAGGAGCCTAACGCGAGTGGAGGAGCGAGCGAAACCGGGGAGATCGCGTCCCGGAGGCGGAGGCGGAGGCGGAGGCGGACGCGGCGCGCGGGGGGAGCTCGGGCTCGGCGGGCGGCGGAGGGGCGCGGGGGCCGCTCCGCGGGGGGCGGGGCGGGACTCGGGCGCGGGCGGCCCGGTGGGGGCGGGGGGGCGGGGGTGCGGCCGCCGAGCGCCCCGCGGACTGCAGCGCCTCAGGTACGTGCGGCGGCCCCGCCGGGGTGCGGGTGGGGGGTGGGGGGGCGGGGGGGTGGGGGCGCTCCCCCCCGCTGCCCCCCGCTCCCCCCTCCCGTCCCCTCCCCTCCCCTCCCGCGGGGCTGCAGGGCGGGGGCCCCCGCGCAGAGCCCCCGGCGCAGGGCAGCGGAAGGGCGGTGCCCCGGAGGGTCGGCAGCGGCGGGGCCGGAACCCGCGTCGGGGTCCCCGCGGACCGGGAGGGGCCGCTGCCGAGCCCCGAGCCGCGAGCCGCGAGCCTGAGGCCGGGGGACCGCACGCGCCCCTGTGCGCCTTTGCCCGCTTCCCGTGGACCGTCGGCTTTGGTTCGCTCGCCTTAGTTTTTGGAGGCGGAGGAAGGACGTGAATAGAGCGTGGGGAACCGGGGGAGCTCGCTCTTCGCCGAAGACCCCCCCCCCCCGCGCCGTGCTCGAGCTTCCGCGGCGCCTGCGTGGGCGCGGGTTCGGGCCCCGACGCGAGCCGAGCGGCCGGTGGAGGAGCCGGCGGGGCCGCCCGGCTCCGGGTCCCCGAAGGGCCCTTGGCTGCCGCTGACGGGAATCCTCCCCCGGGCCTTGGGCTTCGCTGCTCCGCCCCGGCGTCAGGACCGCCCCGGGGACCGCCGGCTTACCCCAGGCTTTATCCACTTCACAGAGCTGTCGCTCGTTCAAGCGTCGTTCTCCAGAGGTCTCCCGTCGGCTCTACGAAGGCAGAAAACCTCAGAGGGACAAGAAAGGGGCTTCCAAGGTGACAAGACACCCAGAAACTTGTTCTCGGAGCCGTGGGGGTGCTGCCGAGCCATCCGCTAAGAAACAGGGAGGGAAGATGAAGTAAAGGAAAGGCTGGAGATGCTCAGAGCCCTCCCGGAGAAGGATGTTTAAAGTCCTGTTGTTAGGTCACTTCGCCTCCGCTGCGGAGTGATTTCTTTACTTCTTAAAATTGAGATCAGTAATGATTATTAATGATTTACGAAGTCTCCTACATCAGCCCTACTGAACTGATGTTTCAGCTGCGCCAGTGTGGGACGGGCACTCGCGTAGGCAGCCGCAGGGGAGTTAAGTTCATACCTGTGGACTGTGCGTGTCCAGACTCGGTAGCGGGACACCCACCGCCCTGTGGTCGGTTGGAACATCCTTGCTACCCTCTCTGTGCCCAGCCTCTTTATATGCAAAGTGGAGACGTTGTCGACGACACCTAGCTCCCTAGCCTGCTGTGAGCTCACAGCAGATCATTCATTCGATAAGTATGTTTTTGGTGCCTTTTATGCCCCAATGAACGAACATGACAAAAACTCTTGTGGAATTGACCTTCCAGTGCTTTGTATGTTACCTGGCACATAGTGAGAACTCAAAATGCTAGCTGATACCATTACACGTGTGATTTCAGTCTATGCCAGGAGCAGGCCCCTCTCTACCCTTTTTACTGATGCGGAAACCAAAGCTCAAAGAAATTGGGCTTTAAGAGGCAAAATCAGAAGTAGTGATACCTTTTATCCACTATGTATCTAGAGGGATATGGCGTTAGACCTGGTAACCAGAAAGCCCACCGCCCTGGGCTACAGAGGACCTGAGAAAATCAGGCTAAACATGAACAGGGACAACTAGTGTAATTTCCTACTGAACTTTCTTCTGGGGCTATCATTGAATTTTTAGAATATTTTGTTCCCAGGATTGGTGGCAGCAACTTGCATTTCTAAATCAACCCTGGAGATATGCCAGCATGTTTGGATAACGTCTACATATGAAAAGCGCCTGGGTTCCCAATAGGGCTCCACCAAAAAATTGCCCTTCTAACCGCTGTGGCCTACCAGGAGCTAGACTGCCTCCTCAAAGAGCAGGCATGTCTGTTTGTAACAGGCGTAGGTTTGGAGCCTTGTAAAATGTAAATGAAGATAACACAATCAAACACACAGAATCAAATTGAAGCCAGCTAAAATTTGTTTGAGGATGGGGTCAGGGGAGACCATTTCTGTTTCTGTTGTTGTTCCCCACGATGGTGTCTCTCCTGGTTAAAAGAACTCAGTAATCAACATAGTTCTGTTGGATTTTTAAACGAGTCAAGAATTTGCTTTCCAGGAAACATGTATGTAAACCCCTTAAGCACACAGATTTTTTTCTCTTTTGCTTTGACCCCTTCCCATGTCCAGCACAGCCCCTTGTATATAGTAGGTGCTCAGTAAATGTTTGCTTAGTTTGATGTTAGAGACACATTGTCTTACTGAGATGGTTTCTCTTTGAATGTTGACTTCTGTTTTCTGGAGAATCTAAAGATTAGGGCTATCCTGAGATTATCGTATTCTGAATCCCATATTTATTCTGTTTAGTAATCCTTTTCTTTTAATAGGTTAGTGTGATCTTAACTCAAGCAAAGGTGGGATATCATGGCTTCCATCTGGGTAAGTAAAACTCAAGCCTTCATAATACAGTAATTTAGTCAACTCAAAATACAGAAAGTCAAAACTTAAAAAAATTTTTGAAAGTTGATAAAAGGTTGATTTGAAAATATAACATGCCAAAAAAGCTAGGGGATGTCTAAAAATAATAAAATATAAACAGGTATTGTAGAGGTACATGTTTAAAATAATTTGTGATGACACTGAAGCAGAGGTTAATAACAGTAAATTCAGTAGGTGATTTGGGAGTTTATATGATAGTATTTAATTTCATATTAGGAAAAGATGGCTTATTCAGTAAATAATGTTAGGGAAATTTCTAGCCATTTGGGTAAAAATAAATCTGTATTCCTTCTCCCTTCATACATTAAAATGCATTCCAGATGGATAAAATACTGAAATGAAAGAGATGAAATATGGGTGAATGTTAAAAAGTATCGTGGAGTAGGAAAGACAGTTACAACCATGACACAACCAAAAGCCTAAAAGAAAAATATTGATCTACTTAACTGCATATAAACCAGTAATAAAAAGACAAAATACTATGATTCCATTATATGAGGCATCTAAAGAAGTCAAATTCTTAGAGACTAAGAATAGGGTTGTGGTTGCCAGAGACTGAAAGGGATTTGTTTGCTTAATGAGTAAAGAATTTCAGTTCTGCACAATGAAAAAGTTCTGGAGATCTGTTTCCCAATAATGTGAATTTTCTCACCACTGCTGAACTTAGGCTTAAAAATGGTTAATGTGGTCAACTTCCTTTTATGCACATTTTTTTTTAAAGATTTTATTTATTTATTCATAGAGATGCAGAGAGAGAGAGAGAGAGAGGCAGAGACCCAGGCAGAGGGAGAAGCAGGCTCCATGCAGAGAGCCTGACGTGGGACTCGATCCAGGGTCTCCAGGATCACGCCCTGGGCTGCAGGCAGCGCTAAACCACTGCGCCACCGGGGCTGCCCCTATGCACGTTTTGGTTGTTGTTACCATAATTTAAAAAGCACCCTGAGATTTCTGTAAATATTCTGTTCTCTTTTCCCCTCTTATACACAAAAGCATGTACACACCTAAACACAAATAAGCAATCAAGTAAGTCCGTGCTTTTCACCAAAACTATAGATCAGTTTGTTGTTCCCAGTGGATGGTGAGTTTATTGGAGTGATATGATCGAGAGAGAAGCCTTTGGTTGCTGTTGTAGTACTTTGCGGGTGAAGATAAAGAATAGCTGGTTTCCTAGGTCGGTGTATGCTAGGTGTTGCAGCCCTCTCATTGTTGCAGATGAGTCAACAATCTGTGTTGCATAACTATTTCCTTTGTTTGGAAATGTTGCATATATCTCTGGTCAGGCATGTTGTTCTCCTACTTAACCGCTGATGAGAAACCCTGATATCTTATCGCTTTGTGCTCTTTGGACCAAGGGCCCCTGTAGGTTGCCCTTAGGTCCATGGCAGGCACTCGGGAAACCTACCAATTAGGACGTCTTAGGAACGTGACAGGTGTAGGGGTTGCTATCTCTATTGCCTTGGAAGTGGCAGGCAGGTGCTTAGGAGCCCTGGATGCGGCGGGGCCACGCTGGCCCTGCGAAGGGCAGTCCTGCGCACATCCGGGCGGTCCTCGGTCTCCAGGACTGGGTACCTGATGCCGCTGAGAGGGGCCCTGCGTGCCTGCTGGTGGCGCTCTGCAGGTGGGAGGTGGCAAGTTTTCACTGGCCGGATCTCCACTTAGTGAGCACAGTTAGACCCTCGCCACCGGCCCTGGGCTCCACGCCCACGGTCTTGTGGCGAACCAGCCGGTTGTTGTAGCGGTCGTTGAGTTTGGGTTGTGAGGCTTCGGCTTCCTGGGCTCGGTGCTGTGTGTCCGCTTACTCCCCTGGATCCGGAAGCTGGAGCGGTTCTGACAACCTCCGTTGCAGGTGGGCCCCTCCCACCAGCGCAGCTGGAGCGTGACTTTCTATTAAGGTGGCACAGCAATGTCTTCCCTATATGTGCCTTCCGTGGTACTGGCTTTCTCAAGCAAATGTTCCAGGCTCTTTGCTCCTTGGTCATTTCCTAACTTCCTTTTACCGTTTGTTTGAATCCTCATTAAGTATCCTACTAAAATTTTTCTTTTTTTAAAGATTTTATTTATTTATCCATGAGAGACACAGAGAGAGAAGCAGAGACACAGGCAGAGGGCGAAGCAGGCTCTCCGCAGGGAGCCTGATTCAGGACTTGTTCCCAGCACCCTGGGATCACGACCTGAGCTGAAGGCAGACGCTCAACCGCTGAACCACCCACGTGCCCCCCTACTAAAATTTTTCCAAACTCATAATCACCGTAATCATTATGAACTGTTATAACATCTTAACTTGTTATATATTTCCCTTCCCCACTCCAAACTTTACTTTATAAATCAGGAGAGGGAATGGAGAGCCACTCTGGAACCAAGGGATAAAAGACATCTTACAAAAATGTAACTTTACACAAATGTGATCACTCATGAAAGTATAGGGCCCCTCTTTCACATTTAATCATAATAAAAAGTATAACTTGCCAAATCTAATGAGTAGCTATTGAAAAAGCCTGGTAGGGATCTCCCTGGGTGGCGCAGCGGTTTAGCGCCGGCCTTTGGCCCAGGGCGCAATCCTGAGACTCGGGATCGAATCCCACGTCGGGCTCCTGGTGCATGGAGCCTGCTTCTCCCTCTGCCTGTGTCTCTGCCTTTCTCTCTCTCTGTGTGACTATCGTAAAAAAAAAAAAAAGCCTGGTAAATCAGAGGCAAAGAGGAAAAAGTTTTAGGTTGAGAGCAAGGAATGTGAAGGGGAGGAGGTATAATTTGATTCTCTTGAATGCCTATGTTTTGGTGGATGCAGAGCAGTTGGAAAATGCAAGTATTTTAGCACTGAACAGTACGATTAATAGAGACATAGAGGTTTCACACAAAATAGAAGAGAGTAGTTAAAAGGACAGAAAATTCTCAAGTCTGCCCCTGCCTACATCATCAGATCTTTGCTCCTTTCATTTTTAACCATTCGTGTTTGATTAAATACTTCACCTAGGTTCTGGAGCCATGTCTAAATAGAAGTAGTGACAGCCCCATCTGAACAGCATTTACAAAAGAAGAATGCATTAATCAGGTTTTTGAAGTGTGTCATGGAGCTCTGAAAAGTCTGGTAGTGGCATTTGAGAATTATCAAAGGAAGCAAGACTCAGAATAAGAAAGCATTTTTTTTTTTTATTCGTGAGAGACACAGAGAGAGAGAGAGAGGCAGAGACACAGGCAGAGGGAGAAGCAGGCTCCATGCAGGGAGCCTGACGCAGGACTCGATCCCAGGTCTCCAGGATCACACCCCAGGCCAAAGGCAGCGCTAAACCGCCATGCCACTGGGGCTGCCCAAGGAAGCATTTTTTATTCACTTACTCATTCAACAAATATTTATTAAGATCTACTGTGTGCCAAACACTGTTTTAGGCTCTGGAAATATAGAGAAAGAGAAATTTTATTTTCTTATTATTTTTAAGAAAGATTTAATTTATTTATTCATGAGATACAGAGAGAGAGAAAGAGAGAGAGAGAGAGGCAGAGACACAGGCAGAGGGAGAAGCAGGCTCTCCGTAGGAAGCCTGATGCGGGACTCTATCCTGGGACTCTGGGATCACGCCCTGGGCTGAAGGCAGGTGCTCAATTGTTGAACCAGCCAGGCTTCCCAAGAAAGAGAAATTTTAAAAACATGGAGCTTATGTGCCTCTGATTTTGTTAGGGAAGATGGCTAATAAAGAAATAAACATATAAGATATAAAGTCAGTTTTAAGTACTCTGGAGAAAAGCAAAGGTAGATAATGACAGTGACAGGGAATATGATTTTCTGCTGAGATATGTGAGCAGAGGTCAACATGGAGTGAGGGAGTGAGCTGGGAGAGTATCTTGGGGAAGAGCATACAGGTGGAGGGAACAGCAGGTGTAGCCTGAGGCAAGGTATATTTGAAGAGCAGTAAGAAAACTCCCAAAGGGTGATGGGGGGGGACAAGGAGATTCAGATAGGTATTACATTTTGGGGGGAATCCTCTAGGGCCACAAAGAATCTTAATAGTTCCAATAGCCTTTGTATAAACTCTTCAAGGAGTTTCCATTATGTAGGTTTACTTTACATTAGGAAGAATTCTTAGATTTGTAGCAACTTACTGTTAGGATTGTCACTTCCCTAACACACACTTACACGAAACTCATAAAATAAGGCCTATTGCCATCATGTTATGTGGGCATTAATGGCTTTGGCCAAAGATGCAAAAAATGTTCTTTCTGTAATATTACAAACAGTAAATGTCCCTCTTCTTGATCCCTCGTGGGTGGATTTCCATTTCCATAGAAGTGATGTGGGAGGAGAGTGGGTGTCACCATGGTAATCCCAACATCCTGCCAAACCAGCACCATTTTCTAGCCAGGTACCCATTTCAGAAGATATGGATGATGCCAGACTCCCCAGTTCAGTGAGCCAGGTTCCCTATATCTTCCATAGTTAGAGAGCAGATCCCTTCTACAGAGGTATCTCTTCTAGAAGATGAAGTTAGATATGTACTTCATCTAACTAAGGATGTGGCCGCTATAGCTGCCCTAGTCTTCAACTCTTCGTGGCTCTTGGCCAAGAAGAGAGTTTGGTCAAGAACTCTTAGCTAAGTTAAACCTGACTTGGATTATTGAGGGAATATGTAATCCTCAGATACTGGTGCTAAATAACTCAAAACAAGATGAATATAAATTGTTTATAATCTGCTTCAAACAAATAATGAAAATTATTCTGAGAAAGAAGTTTGTATTGATAAAGACTTTCTGGGGGCCCAGTGTTTCAGACTCAACCCAGATAGTTAGGTTTGCTGCCTTTGCCAGAGAACCCCTGAACACTTGGAGAGACAGGAAGAAAGACCTAACAAAATCACTGGAAATATCTCTGGTTTACCAGTCGTTCATCTGGGCTTCTGGAACCAACTTTGAAAGACTGGGGTAGCCTGTGGTGCTGAAAGTGGCCACCA